CATGCGTGCACGAAATTCGGCATTTTGTATTGGATTCATTTGCTTCAGTTGCGGTAGAAAACTGACGAGAAAATTAAAATTGGGATCATTGACGTGAGTTGGAGCTGATTTAGTAACAGTTTGTGTCATTTTCAATAGACTGCGTAATTCTTGCTGAAGATTTTGAAATCGTGCAGAGCAGTGACAATTTTCGGATTTTTCATTAGCAACAGGGCTTGGTGTTGTCTGTGTGGCAGCTTCAATGCTCGTTGAGGAGGGGGTGGTGGCGGTGCCAACATCTTTTCTTTGTTTTGGTACAAAACTTTTATTTGATCTTTTGTTATCATTACAGGAAACCTCAACGGCTGCTGATGTTTGTTTTACATTTTGTTGTGGCTGATTCGAATTAATGTTAGTCTCCTCTGCCGACCAACCATACTCCTGCTCAAATTCCATATAGAGCCTATCGATTACATCTTCATCGTCATCTTCAGAGTATCTTTGTTCATCGCCAATCTCTGGTAATTCGATTTTTATTTCAGAAATTTCTACCAAATCAGATACATTGTCATTTTGTGTGGATCCATTGCAAATGCTCTGACCCGCTTGGTCCACTTTTGGGCGCTTCTTACGACGTATTCTTTTGTTTTCTCGTATAAAACTTAGATCCTTATAATAAATCCATTTGCTGTCCCTTTGGTGGTGATTTTCACAACGCCTAACTAATGCCCGATAAGCGTCTCTTAAATTTGCCCATTTGCGTCGACATTGATGAACTGTGGACGTCACACGAGTGTTGTGGAGAAGAGAGCAGTTATACAACATGACATACACGTATACGTACATACGGTTGAGCACATGACCAAGGGAGAAAAGAGTAAATAAAGAAAACGAATTTATAAATGATTTGTTGTTGTTTCACTCGACTTGCTATGCCTACATTCGTACATATGAATGTGTTACGATTTCAAACATACGAGTAAATCGTGTGAATGGCTATTTGTTTGTGCTCACTTACCGTCAATGCCCACCACCGCTGCTACTTCTTTCCATTGTTGTTTAATTTCTTTATACGATTTTCTATGCCTTATCTCCCATAGAACCGGCCGGCTGCGAACCTCGTGAATTAATCGTCTGATATCTGTGTCGTTCCACATTTTTCGTTCAACTAAATGCGAATCGTTATTTTTGTTCGTAATATACAGACAACATTATAAGAAGCGGTACACACGGCGAATTTGCGGCAAGCAGATGGAGAGAATACCTTCCACACTCGCATTGAAGAGCTCTCACGATTTTTGTGGATTGGGTAAGGGTTGCCAAAATGCTCAATGCCTGGGGAATTTTTTGGTTTTACTTTTTGTTTTTGGGATATAAATGCAAATGTTTTATTGGGATATACAGGTAGAGTGGTAACCCAACGCACTGTGTCGGGTCATAAAATATGCATTTATTTAATCCTCAATACCATCAAGTTCTTCTAAGCATACCTGTAAATCTTATTGGGTACACAATCTATTCGAAAAAGACCTACATTCATGCAATAATATTCTATTGCATGAATGTAGGTCTTTTTCGAATAGATCAATTTGTTAACCAATTGATTAGATTTGTGACATAACAGCAGGATAACTAAAAATACTATAATTTTATACCCTCCATCATACCATTGGGGTATATTAAATCAATCCTTCCGTTTGTAACTCCTCGAAATATTCATCTTAGGCTCCAGAAATCAAATATATTATTGACCAGCACAAAATTCCGTCTGTGGAAATTGCTCTAGCTTCCGAACGGGGTAAAGGGAGGTTAATTAAATATCAGTCAGATGTTTTTTACCACCATAGAATTTTTGGGTTTTCAAATGGGCTATATGCATCTCGATTTTGGTATAGACTGCGATACAAGTTTTTTAGGGGTCTAGTCACAGATCTCAACCGAATTTTCTGTAAATCCTTTTACTCCTGATTTTTGCCAAACACATTTGTCTGCCACCAAAATTGTATGCTTCATATAAATTAGCAAAACGAGAAAAAACTCGAGAAAGGAAAAAGTCAAAAGTCGGGCGGGGCCGACTATATGATACCCTACACCTTATGCATATTTAGTGGAGCTCCCGTAACAAAAGAATTTATTTGAAGTAGATCATAACACCTATCAACGTTTGGCTTTAGAGCAGTTAAAATTTAAAAATGGAATTCTGAACCGATTTTCCCCACATCTGAGAGGAGACATTTTTATCTTTTATACCAAATAACATTGCTATAGAGTGTAGGATATCACTTCGACAAGTGTTATATTAAAACAAGTGAAAAAGATGTAAGTTCGGCCAAGCCGAACTTTGAATACTCCCCACCATTTGGAATGAATTTGGCAATTTTCAAAAAAAAAAAATAAATAAATAAATAAAATAAAGTCCGTTAAAAATGCTGCTTAAATATTAAAAAAATACCGAATACGCCCGTTATAATAGGGTCTATACGAAGACGTGGACCTGAATAGGTAATTTTTCTGTTTTCCTGCATTAGCTGAAGTATGCATTACGAACTTCAAATACCAAATTTGAAACATTTCTGGCGAATAATGTCACTTAAATCACTAAAATACCGAGAATATGGAGGTACCATTATATGGGGGCTATAAGGCGAAGGCGTAGACCTGCACAGACAATTTTCTGTCATAGGCTGTAGTATCCATTACGAACTTCAAATACCAAATTTGAAATATTTCCGGTGAATAATGTCGCTAAAATTACTAAAATACCGAAAATAGCTAAATAACAAAACGTGAACTTACATGACCCATTTTCAATACCAAAAGTCCTGCAGACATAATATACATTTGAGTGAAATTTTATCAACCTACTTCATTTTGTTCGGAAGCTAGAGTTATTTCCATAGACGGATATGCAGAAGGACATCGCAAAATCGACATATAATTTTATGCTGATGAAGAATACAGGGTGAGATAAAACAAAGTCAAATTTTTAATTTTTATTTATTTAAATGAAAGCAAAAAATGTCGGAAATAGCTTCAAATGTTGGAATAAGTTTAGATTTGTTCGAATTGGTCACCTTTGGCACGAATTATGGCCTTATGTTATGTTGCTCTGCGGTATTTTGGGCCATTCCAGGCGAAGCGCCTGCTTGAGGTGGTCGACTCTTTGGTATTTTTTAGTACCAACCTTGCTTTTCAAAATACTCCAGACAAAATAGTCCAACGGATTGGCATCCGAAGACTTTGGTGGCCATTGTGCGCTGAAAATGAAGCGAGGAACGTCATTTTGTAACCATTCTTGGGTGACATGCGATGGCTGAGTGCGATGGTGCTGAGTACTGTCCAAGGTCTGCGGCCCAAATGTTTGCGTGCCCAAGGCTTTAATACACCCTCCAGAATATTTTCGCGATATTCTGATTCCACGGTCGATTAATACGAGCGGAGAGCGACCATCGGCTGTTATGGCGGCCCACACCATCACCATGGCCGGCGCTTGAGCTCTGGTGGCCAACCGAAGGTGAACATTCTTAGCTAACCCCTTTGACAAATAAACACGATAATTTTGTCGGTTTACAAACTTGGAGAACACCAAATTCGTCAGTTCACCACATTCAGTCAAGCGAAGCAACTCTTTAGCTCTCTTGAGTCTATTTTCTCTCCGTTGCGGTGTAAGTTCTTGCACTTTTTAGAATTTCAATGGCTTTACCCCGAGCTCATTTTTCAATATTTGCCAAATGGAATATTGCGATATGTTCAGCTCACGAGCCATTTTTCGGCCACTGCGACGCGGGTTTTGATCAAGTCGCTTCTTTACTTTTCGAACCATTTCTGCTGATGTTGCTGTTTCCTTCCTTCCACTTCCTTGACGTTGAGCTACGCTACCTGTATCACGGTAACGAGCGATAGTACGAGACACAAACGATTTATTCACATTTAAATACTGTAGTGCTCCAACGATAGCCACTTGTGGTTTTTCAGCCATATATAATGAAATCCCGCTATTACGCTTGAATTCCATCACGAATAACTTTTTTTCTAGAAAATTCTCAACAAAATGCTTGTGTACGCTTGTAAACAATATAATGAACTGTCACAGGCATAATTTTAAAAGCTGTCGGACGAGTGGCTTTTGCTAAGACAGCAGTTTGAAGTTGGTTACAGTTTTCTCATTTTTGGTTGAAGATATATATGAGAGCTATATCCAAATCTGAACCGATCTTGATACAATATGGCAGAGGTATTTCTGGGCTGTATCATTCTTGTGAGGTGTATATTACGAATGTGAGGGACTTAAACACGAAATCGGATGAAACATATGTATGGGAGCTATAGATATATTTGAGCCAATATCCTCCAAAGTTGATGTACTTGCTTCTGGATGGTACATCTAACCTGCACTCCATCGGCGACTCTCGTTCCCCATTCGTTTGTCCAAGTATTCAATTTTTAGTACATTTTGCTACTTTTTTAACTTCAGCCGTTTCGTCTGGGAGTTGATTCTAGATCAGTACCGTTTGTGGTGGAGGTACCAAAAGGAGTGGACCGATTTTGTCCATCTCCCAACTAGACTTATGTTTTATAATAATATTACGATGTACCAAATTTGGACGAAGTTTATTACTCCATTTGAGAGATATCGGAAGGCCGGACACCCATAGATCGACTCCAAATCTTCTGAAACGGATTTGGTCCACAGATACCTTGCGTCGAAACCCATTATTTCGATGATGCACATATTGGCCGTATCAAGAGATTTTTCCCCTTGCAGCCATATGGGTGTGGTATACAAATATAAATAAATCAAAATCAAGCTAATGAAAGTTTTGGCAGTTATTCAACTTCTATGATTACTCCCTCAACTCGTTCTCATGAACTTGACTCTTACGATGCCGGAAAGCATTCAGAAAATTTTTGTACAAATTATTGAGTTATTCTTATATTTTATAAATATTTTATGAAATTCATTTATACCACACGCCTGTCCAATATTTGTTTTTTTTTTTTTTCAAATATCTTCCAAACAGAAAGTGCCACGAGTTTTAAATGCTATAATTCTCCCAACTCTGGCCATTGCATTTCTTCTTCTGCATACAACACACATTTTTGTGTGTAAACCACGTACAGAAGGCAATGAAGCAAAGAGCGCTGAGTGAACACAACAATCCTCTTCACCAAACAATAACAAAGCCAAAGACAGACATGTCTCTCGCTGCTCTAAACATTTAATGAGGACGCGATAGAGAGAGTAAGAGAGCATTTCGTCGGTCTGTTTATTTTCGCCTTGTTTTTCGTTTTGTATTTAGATTGGCGGGTATGTGTATATACGAGTGTGCAACTGGCCGTTGTGAGTTCAGTTTAACGAAAAATATCCAAGGCAATGGATGTACTGCGTTTAATTGAGGAAGTTCGTCAGCGACCAGCGTTGTGGGACACAACAATGGGGGAGAGAAAACGGCGTCCTTATATATACGGATTGTGGCAAGAAGTTGCGAAAGCTGTTGGCAGTGATGGTGAGTGTATACAATGTTTAATATATTATTTTTAAATACTTTTATGAATGCAACTGTTAGATTGAAGTTTATTTAGTTATTTTGCGTTAATAAAATGAAAAGATTGAATTGATAGTTACTTTTTTATTAGCCTGTTACTTTATTTGAAGAACTGTTGCATAGATTTTTCTGTATTTCTCCCATTATTGTCGAGTTGCTTTCCTGTACTTCTTTCTTTATGTTTTTGTCTTAACATCATGGTTCTCTTTGTGGCGTGATTAATCGTTCTTACTCGCACTCACTCGTATTTATAATTACTGTGAACTTTTTTACATGTATTTGTTTTTTGTATGTGAGTGTATTTCATGACGAGTGGACGTGGTTGCCATTTTATTGAAATATTGTTGAGAATTAATGCACAGGGAGAGAGAATTAAAATAAATTAAACATACAGAGTGGCCCAGAACAAGTAAAAAAAACATTCAATTCGGCCGGGCCGAACTTTTAATACCCTCCACCATTGGATAAAGAAAACATTTTTATATAGAGGTATCTCCATTCAACCGTGTTCCGCTTTAAACTACAAATACCAGTAAGACCGTTTGGATAATGCAGTTAAACTTAAAAAAAGAACATAAAGTTAGTGAGTCCGTTGTATGCGGCCATACCAAAATCGGTACCCATTAAGACAACTTTATGCTACAAGGATTGTCATCTATTGCAAGTCTTAAATGCCAAATAATTATATGACGGCTATTGGAAACATGGACCTAGATATTCCATTAAGAACTGCAGATACAATTTTTTAGACGTATCCGTGGATAGTGTGACAAAAATCATTAAAATACCGAATATCGGGAGGTACCCTTATATACGAAAACGTGGACTTATACATACAATGTACTGCCACCGGAGGTAAAATCTATTATGACCAACAAATAAAAAATCTGTGGAAAATTGTGGCAAAAAATCACGAAAATATCCAATATCGGGAGATAGTATTATATGGGGTCTATACGAAAATATAGAAACTATTATGACCTACACATACCAATTTTTAGAAAAATCCGTAGATAAAAATAGCGAATAACATCCAAATACAGAATATCGGGAGGTACCATTGTATGGGGCCAACTGGAAAACGTGGACCTATTGCAGAAAAATTGGAGTGAGCTTTTACCGATTTTTCCAATCTCAAAAACAAACTTTTCTGCAGATTCTAGAAGATTCAGCTAAACTCTCTAATCGAATAAATGATTACGGTAAATTATTTGAAAATTATAAGCTGTTAGAGAATGTGAATTCACCACAATCATCTCCGAAGCGTCGAAAATCAGCTAGGAATGCAAACAAAGAAAAACGCTCTGAAAATAACTATAGTACATCATTATCAAACACCCCTTCCGTGCCAATGCTTGATTCTACTTCCAACAATTCATCACCTATACCTAATCTTCCTTCATCCAATCCCTCTACGTCAAATAATCCAATTAGTTCATACAGTACTTCCGTTAATGATGTACCTCCTACCAGGCTTGAACGCCTAACAAACCATGATCCTGAATCAGTCGTCAATCCTTCTTCTCCTTATAACGTAACCCCTATTGAGGTTATCCTTACTGCTGTCCCGCCAAAAAGAAGCATTTTCATATCAAGACTTCCAGCGGATACCACTACTGAGACAATTGACCGTTACATCATATCTAAAATTGGAAAATTTAATGATATTAACATACATAAATTCAATTTTTCGCAACAACGTTCAATTGCATCATTCAAAATTACAACCTCTGATGAAATGTATACTCGTCTTATTGATCCTGAGTTCTGGCCGAAACATACTATAGTTCGTGAATACGTATATAGAGAAAGACAAATGCCTGATAATAATGGTTACATTCATCAAAACTCTGTTAACTTTTCAAAAAACTAAGCCCTTTTTGTAATGATACATTATCTATTGCCTATCAAAACGTCCGCTGTATTCGATCTAAAATATCGAAATTGTATGTTGACAGTTTTACCTTTGAACATCATATCTTAGTAATGACTGAGACCTGGTTAAATGAACGTATTTTAAACTCGGAAATTCTGTCAAATAAATACAATATCTTTAGACGTGACCGTGTAAGCAACGGCGGTGGAGTGCTCATAGCTGTCTCCAATATATTTTCTTGCCAATTATTGGATCTTGATTCTTCCCTTGATATTTAGTTCATTGCTGTCGAAGTAAAAAACAATTTGAAAAAAATGTTTATAACATGCTCATATATTCCTCCATCATCACCGCAAATAATTTATGAAAAGCATAGCCGAGTTGCATCCTAAGGAAGTGCGCCGATGCTTTTGTTTATCCTCTTACCATATTGTTCAATGCTTCCATAACTCAAGCTGTTTTTCCTGAGGTTTGGAAAACATCGTATATCATTCCACTCTTTAAAAACGGAAATAAATCTGATGTGGCCAATTACCGAGGAATAGCAAAATTAAGCGTGATTCCAAAGCTTTTCGAAAAACTGATTACTGAAAACCTTATCCATTGCATTAGTTCTATTGTTGCACCCTATCAGCACGGATTTCAGAGGAAGTGTTCTACAACAACAAACCTCATTCAGTTCACTACAGTTATAAATCGAGGATTTCTTCAAGGAAAGCAAACTGATGTAATTTACACAGATTTCAGCAAGGCATTCGATAAAGTTAATAATAAATTATTACGATTAAAACTTAAAAACATTGGATTTACAAATAGAAGTTCCGAATGGATTTTTTCATATCTACAAAATAGAACACAAAAAGTATGTTTTAAAAACGCCATTTCGAAGAGTATTATGGTTTCTTCTGGAGTCCCACAAGGAAGTCATCTAGGACCAATCCTATTTTCTTTATTTATAAATGATCTACCTTCATCTATAAAATTTTCAAATATTTTGATGTATGCCGACGATGTGAAAATATTTCTTAGCATTTCGGAGATATGTAAGAATCAGCTGCTTCAAAATGATTTGAATTCGTTTGTTAACTGGTGCAACATTAATCTTATGGAAATTAATTATTCGAAATGCAAACTTATGAGATTCACAAGAAAAAATTATTGGATACTTGTTACACCCTCGGTGATTATTCTCTGGAAAAAGTTGATACATTCGTTGATCTTGGAGTTGTATTGGATTGTAAACTTAACTTTAAATCTCGTATTTCTGTTTCTATAAACAAAGCAAAATCAGTTCTTGGTTTTGTGAAACGTTGGAGTAAAGAGTTTAAGGATCCTTATGTTTCAAAAAATTTATACATGTCAATTGTTCGCCCAATTTTGGAATACTCTTCGGTCATATGGGATCCAATTTATAAAACACACAGCGACCGCATCGAGTCTGTTCAAAAACAATTCCTACTTTTCTGTCTACGAAGTTTGAACTTTTCATATGATAATCTTCCACCATACACTGATAGACTCTCACTGATCAAGCTGCCAACTCTGGAAAGCCGTAGAAAAATGCCAAATGTCTCATTTCTTTATAATGTGATTATGGGTGATATTTCTGCTGGCTTTCTTGTTAACAACATAAATTTCAATGTTCCTCAACGTACTACCCGCCACTATGCACCACTAGCAATTCAATTCTCCAGGATGAGCTATGCAAACGCTGATCCTTTAACAAGAATTTCAAAAGATTTTAACGCGTTTTATAATTTTATCGATTTTACAATGGATATTAATACTATAAAAAGTAAAATAATAATGTTTTTAAATACTTAATTTTAATTATACAATTATTAGTTATATACATATATAGTCTGTAAGGAATTATCCATAGACTAATAGATTAAATAAAATAAATAAAAATAAAAATATACACTATACATAAGCCACTGGGGCTAAAATAAGATTTGACGCATATATACCAATTTATAAAGAAATCCATGAACAAATGTGGCGAAAATAATCAAAATACCGAATATCGAAAGGTACCGTTATATGGCGGCTATACCAAAACGTGGACCGATATATCTCATTTTCAATACCAGACACAATACATATTGTTCTGCCAAATTTTGTAGCTTTACGTCCTTTCCAAGCTTGAGGTTATAAAAACTTCTCGTATGAAATAAAAAAACTGCACCAAAGTCAAATGCCATCATTTTTACAATTTTTTTTTAATTTTATTGAATGAAAGCAAAAAAAGGTCGTAAATAGGATCAAATTTTAGAATAACTTTAGATTTGTTCGAATTGGTCACCTTTGGCACGAATTATGGCTTTCAAACGGCCAATGAAACCGTCACATGTTGCCCAAATGTTGCTCTGCAGTATTTTTGTCCATTCCCGGCGATGCGCTTGCTTGAGGAGATCGACACTTTGGTATGCCAACCATTCTTTCCAAAATACTCCAGACACAACGGATTGGTATCCGGATTTTTTGGTGGCTATTGTGCGCTAGAAATGAAGCGAACTTCTTTTTGTAACCACTCTTGGGTGGCGCGTGCTGGGTGCGATGGTGCTGTTGAATAGAGTCCTGTTGGAATGTTCAAGGTCTGCGAACAAAATGTTTGCTTGCCCTTCCGTGGGCTTTTATACACCCTCCAGAATATTTATATATATTCGGCATTTATTCTGATACCATCAGCTGTTATGGCGGCTCACACCATTACCATGGCCGGCGCTTGAGTTCTGATGGCCAACCGAAGGTATACATTTTCAGGTAACCTCTTTGGCAAGTAAACACGATCATTTTGTTTGTTTACAAACCGCTTAACAGCGAATGTTTTCTCATCGAAGAAAACCAAGTTCGGCAGTTCACCACTTTCGGCCAAGCGAAACATCTTTTTAGCACTTTCCAGTCTATTTTATTCATGTTGCGGTGTAAGTTCTTGCACTTACCCCGAGCTCATTTTTCAATGTTTGCCGAATGGAATATTGCGATATGTTCAGCTCACAAGCCATTTTTCGGCCGTTGCGAGGCGGGTTTCGATCAAGTCACTCCTTTACTTTTGGAACCATTTCTGCTGATGTTGCTGTTTTCTTCCGTCCACTTTTTTGACGTCGGGCTACGCTACCAGTATCACGGTAACGAGCGATGGTACGAGACACAAAAGATATATTCACATTTAAATGCTGGAGTGCTCTAACGATGGCCACTTGTGGTTTTCCAGTCAAATATAAAGAAATCACACTATCACGCTTAAATTACATCACGAATAACTTTTTTTCTGGAAAATTCTGACTAAAATGTTTTTGTACACTTGTAAACAATATAATGAGCTGTCACTGGAATAATTTTAAGAGCCGTCGTACGAGTGGCTTCGAAATGACAGCAGTCTGAAGTTGGTTGCGGTTTTTTCATCTCACCCTCACTGTATAGACTTTTGGCCGCAACTGTATATTCTTGATCAACTTTAAATTCGGAAAAATTTCTGTCGGTCTGTGAAAATCACTTTAGCTTCCTAGCGAAATGAAGTAGGTTGATCAAATTTTACTCAAACTTATTTTATGTCTGCTGGACTTTTGGTATTGAAAATGAGGTTCAAAATTTGGTATGACCCCCATATAACTATACCGACAGATTGACGTTTTTTTAGTCCCATCCCCGAATTTCCTGTAAATTGACAGTTTTTTTCCCAGCATGTAGGAAATATACTTGCAGAGAACTGACCACATAGGTCCCAGTTTGGGTATAGTCCCCATAAATTTGTTCCTCCACGTATTCGATATTTTTCAACAGACACTTTTTTACACTGTGCAAGTTCCTTCAATGTTCCATTCATTCAAAATGGTTTCAGATATGAAGAGACGTTACCGCAAATTATAATATTGTAGGGTAGGTATAACATGCTCTCACAGCCAGATTGTATCCATTGCTAACTTCTCAAAAATTACCTTTAATTTTCGATTAGCATTATTCAAACTAATTCCAACTTAGAAGTTGCCCTTTTCTCTTCTGCTTGCATACTTGTTTGCTATGCTAGGCCACTCATTGCCTACATTTTAACATATTTCACTTTTCTTTTTGTGCTCATTTCGTTTCATGTTTGGGACGCCACTGCCTGCTCTCTTCATTTTGTTATACTCAATCTTGCTCTTGCTTTAATTCGCCTTCATTTTGGTGTTGCTTCCGCTCCTGGTACTTGATATATGGAACATGTAGCCGAAAAATGCAAACAGAAATGGAAGAATTTTCGCGATACCTATCATTCTGAGGTTAGACGTGTCGAACGACAAATAATGAGACACAAACTAATGGGCAAGTATGATCCGAACCACGACTACCGAAGTAAATGGGCCTACATGGAGGCAATGAGTTTTATAACTAAATGCAGGCGACCGTATAAGTCATCGGGTGGCGAAAACGAGTGCACAAGTTCCAATGACGAGAATCCAGTAAGCAACTCCACAACTGGTATACGTCGATCACAGCGAAGAGTTGGAGAGAGTATCGACAATGCAACTTCGTCAGCCATTGGCAGTATGGATGATGGCGAAGATGATGATGACGAAGACGATGCCGATATGCTATTTGAGGAATTTCAAAGTATTGCCACACCACAGGCAGCTAGACGTTTGTCAGCTACGTTATCGCTAACGAACTCACTTGAGCAGACACTCTCGAATAGTTCGGTAGAAGCACCAGACACCAAGTTATTGATGGAACCCAGCACATCCACAGCCGCGAATGGCCCAAGAAAAGACTGTTGCAAAACGGCAACACAAGCTCACAGTGAGGATCGTGTACATTTTCTGGAAGATCTCGAAAAACAAGAACAGCAACTTATTAAATCCACCAAACATGACATCAGTCGAGCTCTCAGTCACATTGGCGACTCGGATTATAATTTTCTGGTTAGTTTTTTGCCGCACATGAAGAAAATGACAGATTTACAAAATCTACAATTTCGCGGACGAATGTGTGACTTGGTGTTGACATCATTGGCGCCCAATGCAGCTCAACATAATTCGGCAGCATCACTACCATTGCAACCACAATTGGCGCCCAATGTGGCTCAAGACTATTCTTCAGCACCAGCATCACTACCATTGCAACCAACAGCCAGCATTATTAAAGTGGAGTGTATTAATAATAAAATCCAAGCTTCAGAACATCCAGAATCGCCAACCAGTCAGGATGCAAATGCAGCCAATGGTAATGAAATTGACAACGAACTGGAGTTCTTTTGAAATGCATTGATGACTGAATGTATTTTTTTAATACTAAACTAAAGTAAATTTATGATTTTTATATTATTTTTACAAAAAAAATATTTTGTGATTTGATTTTAAACCTTGATATTGTAACTCAAGGTCAAAGAATAGGACACACAATAGGTTCATATTAATTTGTGATTAGATTCCAAAGTGAAAAATTAGTTGGAAGCTAATTTAGTTTGAAGTTGGCCGAAATAATTTATTTACTGCGGCTGAAAGGTTTTGATATTGAAATGGGGAATAATTTCATTAATACACCTACTGTGTGACATACCCATGGACCTTGATTGTAGCTTTAAGACCGAAAGGCCACATTTGATATATACACACAAAATTTTTGCAATAAAAAATTCTGATTCGATCTCTTTCTTAAAAACTGCACCTTTGAACAAAATATGGCAGAGCTATCATGAATGACTTGAGTTGCCCTCCCAACTTGGTAAGTTAACAGGTAAAATAGTATCAGTCGGTTTTGCCTACAGATGTATGTTCCCAGCTTTCAGAAGGGGTTGCCAGATGTACAGGGTGAGATGAAAAAACTGCAACTAACTGCGGACTGCTGTTATTTCGAAGCCACTCGTCATTTATTGTTTACAAGCGTACAAAAACATTTTTGTGAGGATTTTCCAGAAAAAAAGTTATTCGTGATGGAATACAAGCGTGATGTGTGATTTCTTTATATTTGGCTGGAGAACAACAAGTGGCTATCGTTAGAACATTCCAGCATTTAAATGTGAATAAATCTTTTGTGTCTCTTACTATCGCTCGTTACCGTGATACTGGTAGCGTAGCCCGACGTCAAGGAAGTAGACGGAATAAAACAGCAACATCAGCAGAAATGGTTCGAAAAGTAAAAAAGCGACCGCAGCGGCCGCAATATTCCATTCGGCAAATAATGAAAAATGAGCTCGGGGTAACGCCATTGAAATTCAAAAAGTGCAAGAACTTACACCGCAATTGAAAGAAAATAGCCTCAAAAGAGCTAATGAGTTGCTTTGCTTCGCCAAAAGTGGTGAACTGCCGAATTTGGTTTTCTCCAAATTCGTTGTCCAGCAGTTTGTAAAGAAACAAAATGATCGTGATTACTTGCCAAAGAGATCAGCTGAAAATGTGCACCTTCGGTTGGCCACCAGAACTCAAGCGCGAGCCATGGTGATGGTGTGTGCTGCCATTACAGTCGATGGTCGCTCATTGCTCTTATTAATCGAATCAGAATAAATGCCGAATATTATCGCGAAAATATTCTGGAGGGTGTATTAAAGCCTTGGACAAGCAAACATTTTGGCTGCAGACCTTGGACATTCCAATAGGACTCAGCACCATCGCACTCAGCACGTGCCACCCAATATTGGTTACAAAATGAGGTTCCTCGCTTCAGCGCACAATGGCCACCAATATCTCGTGATACCAATCCGTTGGAATATTGTGTCTGGTGTATTTTCGAAAGCAAGGTTGGCACTAAAAAAATATCTCAAGCAAGCGCTTCGCCGGAATTGGGCCAAAATACCGCAGAGCAACATTCGGGCAGCGTGTGATGGTTTCATTGGTCGTTTGAAAGCCATAATTCGTGTCAAAGGTGACCAATTCGAACAAATCTAGACTTATTCTAAAATTTGATGCTATTTCCGACTTGCTTTCATTCAATAAAATTAACAAAAAAATTATGGCATTTTACTTTGTTGCAGTTTTTTTTATCTCACCCTGTATATCATCTTCACAACAAATCTTGCGTTAGCAAAAATATATGGTTGTGAGAAAATTGAAAATCGATCGGTTTGTTTTTCAAAATCTTGAACCCTATGTGGGGGAGGTACCAAAAGAAATGGTCCAATCTCTACCATATTCATAACACATCTTGGGTTGATGAAAATATTGAAATGTACCAAGTCTGAATGGAAGCAACTGTTATTTTCGCGTTTTAAGAGCTCCATGGATACTCAAAATGTTGAACCTTTGTGGAGGAGGTACTAGAAAGAGTAAACCGATACATACCATATTCACACCAGACATTGGGTTAAAAAAAGTATTGTGATGTGTGCAATTTGAAGGGAACCGGATGCTTATTTCGGATTTTATGATGGTTTTGGTCATTCAAAATTTTGACCCTTTGGGGGGGAGGTTCCAGAAGGAATGGTCCAATCTCTACCATCTTCATAACAGATCTTGTGTTTATGGAAATATTGAGATATGCCATGTCTGAATGGAATCTGATATTTATTTCGTGTTTTATGAGCTTCATGAATATTCAAAATGTTGATCCTTTTTTGAGGAGGTACCAGAAGTTGTGGATCGATATTGTCAATTTTCGCACTTGGCCTAGCACTGATGAAAACATTAAGATCATTTTGTTTCTTTACAAACTGCTGGACAACGAATGTTTTCTCATCGGAGAAAACCAATTTCGGCAGTTCACCACATTCGGCCAAGTGAAGCAAATCTTTAGCTCTTTTGAGTCTATTTTCTTTCTGTTGCGGTGTAAGTTCTTGCACTTTTTGGAATTTCAGTGATTTTACTCCGAGCTCATTTTTCATTATTTGCCGAATGGAATATTGCGATATGTTCAGCTTTCGGCCACTGCGACGCGGGTTTCGATCATGTCGCTTCTTTAGTTAGAAATGACAACAGCCTGAGGTTGGTTGCAGTTTTTTCATCTCACCCTGTATTCGGCATTTTTAATATTTTAACGGATTTTACTTTTTATTTCTTTTTTTTAATATCCACTTTTGCTACAAATGGTGGAGGGTATTCAATGTTCGGTCCCGTCAAAACTTACTGATTTCTTTCTAGTTCTAAACCCACACCTTCTTCCTTCTAATTTTAAAAAGCATTCTAGTTGGGACATCCTTTATTTTTATAATTCATTTATTTCATATTTACATTTTTAAATAGGTTTTACAAATATCTTTATGTCTAATATCTAATTCTAATTCAGTCTAACACTTTGTTTATTTCATAAGTTATCCTACCTATAACCAGTAACATTATTTGTACCACGCACCAAGCGTGGGTTGGGTGTGAGTGGAGGCAGGGCTGTTTGGCTTGTGGTCGTAGCATTTGTTGATGTTGGTGGCAGTAGAACATTCAAAATCATTTGTGACATTTGCGAACGAAACTCTAAATTTTGCAAATCATTCATTTTCTTCATGTGCGGCAAAAAACTCAAAAGAAAATTTCGATCAGGATCCTCTGCATCCAGATGAGTGTTGGTGGACCTTATATCCTCTTGTGTGGATTGTATGAGTTTTTCTTCCTCTCTCTCCAAATCTCTGAGAAAATGAATTCGCTGTTGCTGCTGTATCTGCGGTTGTTGTTGTTGTTGCTGCTGCTGCTGCTCTTGTGGCCGTGAGAGAGGTTGTTCAGTTCTGTTGTCCCTGAGCGGTGGTGGTGGTTTTTGGCTCTCTTTGGAATTTTTGGGAACAATTTTTACTTTTATTGAGGCCGGTAAATTCAAGGTTGACAGGCAATTTTGAATATTGTTGTTAGCTGGAGTCGTGGTTGTTGTTGTTCTAGTTTCTTCAAAATTAGGTAGATAATTCTCAATGTTACTATATGCCGTTGTGTTTGTCTCTTTCGAGGTGTTTGCCTCTGTCAGGGTTGTTGTTGTATCCTCAAATTCCTTCTTTATTGCCAGTAATTCTTGTAGATTATCGCTATCGTCCAAATCGATAATTCCATCATACTCGTCCTCCAGAGAATAATTTCCATCATAGGTCATGCCGTTGTCCGTCTCCATGTTGAAATTTTGAGAGTTGTTTTTGGATTTGAAGCCCTTCGAAACCCGTTTATTACCTTGTTTTCGTAACCTAACAAAATCCTTGAGAAAGTCCATTTCCTTGATATAGGTCCAGTTACTGGCATAATTGGTATTCATCCCCAAAACCTTAGATTTCTCCTTTTGGCGTTCTTCGTTGTTTAGACAAGTGCGATAAGTGTCTCTGATATTCTTCCATTTTCTCTTGCATTCTTCGGCTGTAAATGAGGATAAAAAAGGAAAATATAATTTTAAAATAGTGTGACTTAATCCCATGGCGAAATAAGTTAAAGCGATACAAATGCCTGGAAATATTTTCTCTTACAATTATTGACATTCAGGATCCTCGCTATTTCATTCCACTGCTTGGCAGTTGTAAAATAGCATTTGTATTTCGGATGGTTGTTATCCCACAAAACTGGTCTCGAACGTACTTCGTCGATTAAGCGTCGCACATCCATATCGCTTGCTAGTTATCGCTCAACTAAAGTCGCTCACATGATGGTTTTGTTCTCTACCTAGCGCAGTAAGAACAAAGGGCAGATCATTGCTCAGACACTTATTCTCTTTTCTCTTGAATTGCTTTGTCAACGAGGGAGATGGGAGAGAGTTGCATTTTTGCCTTTGCCGATCCTTAATGCATGCCTCAGTTGTCGATTCTATTCTTTACCTACCCGATGCGATAGGGTGCTCTCAGCAAATGAAATTCTCTCCACGTGAACAATAGGAACTATTAAAAAAATAAGGCAATCTCAGAGAAATAAAATTTCTGGAATTTTCTGCACGACGGACGGCAAAAGATCATACCGCAGACCGTTACTCTCCTCTCTTTGGAATGTGGGATTTTTTGTAATTTAGTGAGATGAGAGAGTATAGCAGTTGCCTTGGCCGATCCTTAATGTAAGGCGAATTGATTTCGCCTTCCTTGATTGTACTCTCCTTTAATCAATTGTGCTGCTCTCACACAGTCGTGTAAACGCAATGGAAAGCTTCCGTGCAGTAATGTGCATAATAAAATTGAGAGAATACGCGTATAATCAGTGCCATTTTTTATACCCTCCACCATACTATGGAGGGTATATTAATTTTGTCATTCCGTTTGTAACTCCTCATACTCATGTCAGACCCAACAAAGTATATATATTCTTGATCAGCGTAAAATTCTAAGACGATTTAGCCATGTCCGTCTGGAATTGTTTCAAATTTGGCATTTGAAGTTCTTAAGGGATTCTACAGCGTAAGACAGAAAATTATCTGTGCCCCGATATTCGGTATTTTGATGATTTTAGCGACATTATTTAGCGGAATTGTTCCAAATTTGGTATTTGAAGTTCGTAATAGATACTGCAGCATAAAACAGAAAATGGGCCATGTAGGTCCACGTCTTCATATAGCCCCCATATACCGTACCACCCATTATTCGGCATTTTGATGATTTTAGCGACACTATTTACCGGGGATTGTTTCAAATTTCGCATGTGAAGTTCGTAATGGATATTTCAGCCCATGCTAGAAAATTGTCTGTGCAGGTCCACGTCTACGTATAGTCCCCATATAACGGTACCCCCCATATTCGGAATTTTGATGATTTTAGCTAAATTATAAAAAGATTTTTCTTCAAGTTTCGCATGTAAATATTGTAATAACTTATGAAAAAAGTTGCCTATGCAGGTCCACGTCGTCGTATTAGCATTCGGTATTTTTAAGGTTTTAACAGAATTCTTAACGGATTTTATTATTTTTTTTTTTTGTAAATTGCCAAATTTGCACCAAATGGTGGAGGGTATTAAAAGTTCGGCCCGGCCGAACTTACAGCTTTTTTACTTGTTATTTTTCCTATCTATGCTTTAGTGCGATTTTCTCAAAAAGGGTAATTTTTAAAGAGCTATAGGAAACTTAAAAAAAATCAAGTGAATAAGCTGAAAGTTCGGCCGGCCGGAACTTTTAATACCCTCTACCGTTTGGAATGAATTCGACAATTTTCAAAAAAAAAAACCTTTAAAATTCCTTTAAGATTTTTGTCTGTGCAGGTCCATGTTTTGGTATAGCCACGGCACCTCCCTATATTCGGTATTTTGATGATGTTAGCTACATTATTCACCGAATTTATTTTTTCAAGTTTCGCATTTGGATATTGTAATGTTTTAATCTTAAAACTACCGAATGTAGCCGTTAAATTAGGGTCTATACGGCGACGTGGATCTGCACAGGTAACTTTTTTCATAAGCCATTACAATATTCAAATACCAAAACTTGGACCTACATGGCCCATTTTCTACCAAAAGCCCGGCAGATATAATATACACTTGAGAAAAATTTTATCAACGTATTACATTTCGTTCGGAAGCTAGAGTGATTTCCACAGACGGACATCGCTAAATCGACATAGAATTTTATGCTGATCAAGAATATATATTCTTTTTGGGGTCTAAAATGTATATTTCGATGTGTTACAAACGGAATGACAAACTTAATATATCCTCCATACTATGGTGGAGGTTATAAAAAATGCATAAATTCTTGACTTAAATTAAAGATTAAATTAAGATTATTGACCTCGATGGTCCATTCGCTTAGACCAATTTTGGCATACTACAACATTTTAGTCGGTATGTCATGAATAAATAAATGCTTCAATGTTTTCTTCCAGTGCGCCAATTGAGGCAGGCTCGTCTGTATAAGCCACAGCACAGATTTGCTCACTTTCATTAGGGAGCGAAACTTGCTCGCGAGCAGAATTGATCGTAGAGTGGAAGATTTTTTACGGGGTCAACTCTTCATTATTCTGTTTTGTATGTGGATAGAGAAGCGGCTCCGAAAACTATTGACTTTTCCACAATCAAATCGGATGACGTCTTTTCACTTTACCAAAGTATTAGAACTATTCATCAGATCATCATCAAAATCAAGTCGACCTGATACCACCAACCACGGTGCAAGGCATCAACGTAAATTTGGTCCAAAATGGACAAATAGCTGCTGTAGCTACCTCAGTATATGTCTACAGAGGGTACATATCATTTGATGCGGCCAAAACGTATATCATTGAAATACCGTTTTTGAGACCCTAGGTCTCTTTGGATCAAATCCGTTTCAGGACATTTGGAGACGATCTAGCGATGTCCGTCTGTATGGCTGGCTGGTGCGGACGATAACTCTTGAAGGGAGTATCCGATGTGGTTCAAACTTGCTACATCGTAATAACATTATCAAACTTAGATCGAGTTCGGAGATGGGCAATATCGGTCCACTCCTTCTGGTACCTCCCCCACAAAAAGTCGGATTTAAAAAAATATATATATTTTTTTGCACAGAAAGAGAAAAGATAATTCGATTTTGCTCCAACTTTGCAAATCCTAATATTTGTGTCAGTGTTAGGTCAGGTGGGAAAATAGACAATATCGGTCCACTCCATCAAGTACCTCCCCCACAAATGGTCAAAATATTGAATAATTACAACTCTCATAAAATGTGATGTAAGAGTCCGTTTGTCTTCAAATTTCACACATACCTATATTTTCAGAAACCCAAGATCTGGTGTTAAGATGGAATATATCGGTTGACTCCTTCTGGTACTTCCCCCACATAGGTTGAAATTTTTAATATCCATAAAGCTCATAAAACGCGAAAATAACATCGGATTCCATTTAGACTGAATATTTCTATCAACACAGGATCTGTTAAAAAAACGCTAGATATCGGACCATTCCTCCTTGTACCTCAACCAAAAAAGGTCAAAGTTTTGAATAACCAAAACGTTTATAAAATCCGAAATAAGCATCAGGTACTCTTTATATTCCACACATCCCATTATTTTAACTAACAAAAGATCCGTTGTGAAGATGGGATGCATCGGTCCACTCCTTTTGGTACCTCCCCCATAAAAAGTGAAATTGACATCCGATTCTATTCAAGGCTTGGTACATCCCGAAATTTCCATTAACACAATACAGTCCAAACCTAGCACGTCGCAATATTTATATCATATTTATTTAAGTCCGATTGGCCCATTCCTTCGGAACCTGCTGTATAAGGGGTTAATTATTTGAATAATCATAACAGAAGTCAAAATATTTTTAAATAATCAAACATTGGCCGAGGGTATACATCTGTCGGCAAAACCGAGCGATATTTTTAAATTGTTTTCTATAAAGTTTGTTTGAACAATTGCGGACTTTAATTAAAAATTTAAAAATAAATATATAACAATAAATGTTTGCTTCTTTTTATTTAAAAATCTTATTTAGAGCCCTTCCTGGGCAAATGTGACACCCATGAATAGGGTTCTTAATTCCGGATCTGTCATTATGGCCATCTGTAAATGTCTGGATACAATCAGCTTTTTATGATGGTCCATGGCGAAATTTCCAGCCAATACCAGGATTTCGGCTGTTAGATATTCCATTACCGCTGTCAAATATGCCGCCGATCCCATTGTAATCCGCTCTGCAAAATCACCACTACACAAAAGTTTACGTATACGCTTTACGGGAAACACCAAACCGGCACGCCTTGAACTGGATTTTCGGTGTCTTGTCTTCGATTTTTCCATTATTCGATTCATTTGGTTCCTAAGACTTCGATTTGATTGAATTGTCTATGGAAATATTGAAATCTGGTTGACAGACCACGCAACTCACCTTCCAGAAGAACTCGATCAATCGAATGGTGTCTCGAGCATAACGGCAAACATGACCCCGTGCCACCCCAAAACGAATTGCCAGTCTTGTCAATTAGCCAATGTGATGTTGTTTTTGTCAATTAGATTAACCGGGTTCAAATGCTGTTCACTGCTTTGTTACAAGAATGGCTTGGCTTGGTAATCAATCAAATGTCAGCAGATTGTCAATCTTTGGAGTATTTAGAGAAAAAAAATGTTTATTTTAACTGGCGTAAACACTGATCAGTTGATGTTGTTCGGATTGTTTGGTTATCTGACATCTGTTTGTTGCACGGCTAAATATGCGTATGAAATACATATTAATAATATCTGTGCAATGAACCTGCCTGCCAGACCAAATGCCTGCCTGCAATGGATGGCATGGCATGGTTTGGAGTTAAATATTCCATTTCGGATAACGAACAACAACATCTCGTCATCTCTCGTCGGAATGAACTTAAATTTAGACGTCACTTAAATGTCATGTCTCACCATATTTGCATTTGATGCAGTGACATGTAGGTAATGCTATGTTGGGTACAAAAGTACGTACGTCTCTTTTCGAATGCGAACATATATATATAACGAACGAACTAACTCAATTTAAATTGAACACAAAGTAATCACACAACTAACACGGGAAATATTTGGAAAAAAAACAAGCCATGCAAAATTGATTTTATTTGCGAAGCAGACAGGGAAACCAGCAAACATTGTGAGTGATGAAGGTGGAGGAAGATGGCAGATAATCGAAAAATTATTACTTTTTACAGCAAAAAGTTTGAAAAAATCTTTCGTTTTCGAGTTTATCGATGAGCTTTCGAACGAATTGAAGTACGTTGATAAAATTTTACTTACATATGGGTTT